CCCCCCCCCTCCCAGTTTCCCTGATCGTCTTTCCTCCCAACCCCACTCAGTTCCCCCAGTTTCCCTGATCTAGCTGCCTTCCCACCTGTCTCCCTGGTCGTGCCAACTGCCCTCCCCATCCCCTGAGTCTACCTGATCACCCACCTACTGTATAACAGTGTGGTTGAGTACTGGTGGAGATTGGTCTGTCACTGTATAACAGTTGGGTACAGTACTGTTGGAGACAGGCTTGTCACTGCATAACACTGGGATACAGTAGTGTTGGAGACAGGCCTGTCACTGCATAACACTTGGATACAGTACTGGTGGGGACAGGTCTGTCACTGTATAACACTGGGATACAGTACTGGTGGGGACAGGTCAGTCACTACATAACACTGGGATACAGTACTGGTGGGGACAGGTCTGTCACTGCATAACACTGGGATACAGTACTGGTGGGGACAGGTCTGTGACTGTATAACACTGGGATGTAATATTGAAGGGGACAGGTCTGTGACTGTATAACACTGGGGTACAGTACTGGTGGGGACAGGCCTGTGACTGGGAATTTGCTTAATTTTTTTGTTGAGTGTTGAGTTTTATACCACATTTATATTGTTTCAGTGTGATTATTCTTCATTCGTTTATACTGGTTTAACTGCTGTCTTGTGAAATGATTGTGTGATTATAGCTGGGCGTCAGTTAATCATGGTAGTGAGTGAATCAACGTTGTGAACTTGTAGTCACTGCATCCACTCAACACATCCAAGTGCTAATTTCACTTGTTCTTCCTCTCTGTTTTCAAAGCACTGCCCGGTGGAGATTGGTGTTTTAATGTCCGGGGCAGTTACAGACTGAATGTGGTCTAAGCTGAAGTGCAGACCTACATGGCTGCACCCCTACAACAGGGAACCAAATCACCAGAGACTCTGTGTGTGTCCATCATTCCACTTAGCTTGTCATTGCTTTGGTGTGAACCCTGTGTCCTTCAGTCATGTTCTCTGGAAAGGAGGAGTGTTTTTATTCTCAAATGCTGTGCATGTGGCTGATGGGTCAAGTTCGGAAGAATTCTTTATTCATCAGTCAATACCAGTATGAAAGGCAAGTCTAATCATGAACAAGACACTAGTTGGGGACTGAATAAATTTCTGTGTTCTGCCATCACTCATACCTCACCTTTACCTTTTGCCATGCCCAGGTTTATGTGATGGAGCAGATTTTTTTTTGTTTTGTGGTATCATGTTCCCCCGGAGTTGCCCAGCAGTTTACTTAGTCACCTAAAACTCGTAATTGGGAGTATCGTGACTTCAGAATCTGACCAGTTTCTGTCTGTGTTTCCCAATATGGATAGCAAGGAATGTGGAGTGAGCTCAGGAGTCTGTGGGCCAGAGCAGTTGTGGTGGTGCTCAATTCGGAAGCCTTTTCCCAAGTGTGGGTGTGTAGCATGATAGACCAGCACAGGAGAGCATGCTGAGCATGCTATGACTCTGTACAGAATGTTGTTCATGACCGAGTGCACTTAACTTGTTCCATCAATTCCCCCGTGCTGCCTCACTTTTATCATTTTCAATCTATGCAGGAAAAACAAGTTTGAAAGGAATTGAATGTTTACTTACTGAATGGGGTTATTAACTGCATCAGAGCAGACCCAGCAGATTAACTCCTCAGCAGACCAAAGTTCATCAAAGTAAGAACTCTGTGCTGATTTAAATATCTGAAACTCGGATTTTGGATCTGGTCCTGAATTAGTGAGTGACAAAAGCAGCTTGGTGTCAAATCCTGCTCATTTAACATAATGCCACAGTTAAATCCATTCAAACAGAGCAAAATACTCCTTGCCCAGAGTCACATACCAAATTGGACATTGTAATTCTCTCAGGGACTTGCAGCGTTCCCCTGAAAGCACCTTCTAAACCTGCAGCCTCTTCCATTAGAAGGACCATGGTTGCAGGACACTGGGAACACCAACCCCTGCAAGCCACTGTATCCCCTCCAAGCCACTCACCATCCTGACTTGGAAATATATCACCATTCCTTCAGTATTTCAGTCTAAATCCTGGGACTGTCTCCCTAACAGCATTATGGGTGTCTACAAATGCAGTGCAGCAGTTCAAGAAGTCAGCTCACCACCTTCTCGAGCAATTAGAAATGGGCAATAAATGCCGACCAGTCAGCAATGTCTACATCCCATGTATGAATAAAATAAAAACTCCATAGATATGGAGACTGCAGATACAATTACTGGGCAGTTAGCATATCATTTAGCAGGGATTCTGAAGCCTCTTGGACTCCACACCCTTGGCAATACAGTACTGATGGGGACAGGTCTATCTGTATGACATGGGTACAGTACTGGTGGGGACAGGTCTGTCACTGCAAATCTTAGGATATGGTCCTGGGGGCAGGTCTGTCACTCTATAATACTGGGGTGCAGTCCCGGTGGGGATAGGCTGTCACTGTATAATACTCTGGTGCACTACTGGTGGGGACAAGTCTGTCAATGTTTCCACTGATGACTGTTCTGAGATTGACGAGTTGTCTGGTGTATCATGATGTGTGGAGTGGATTTCAGGCCTTTGTCTCCATGGTCAGTTAAGAATGGTTAGTTGTGCATTCTGGGGTGACATGTCTGTTTACTGGAAAACAGTGTTTTGATATTGGGGTTTCGTGCTCTTGTGGCTTAGATGAAAGAAGTTTTGTTCTGTTTTGTTTTAACATCTGATTTTTGAAGTAAATGATTGTGGGCTGATTCAGTATCATTCCTTCTTTCCAAGAGGGTCGGTTTTCAGTGGTCTGGTTCAATGTTAGTGAGCATCTTCACAAAGCTACACAAGCATTCATGCTCTGTTGATACCAGTTGTATCGCTTCATAGTTTCCATTCCTCCTTGCCATGCTTGTCAGAGTTGGAAAGTGGATTCCCTTGTCCCATGATTGGGCTTCAGGGACATTACTGAAAAGAACAGGACACATCCCAGCTGTGTGCCATCAACCAAAGGTCCCAGTGACCCTTTTTGTGAACCTTCAGCTCATTGTGTTTGTGAAATCATGTTGGGGAATGCCATAGTGGCTTTAGAATAATAGCATTCCTACAGTGCAGATAGAGGCTATTCAGTCCATCAAATCTACACTGACCCTCCAAAGAGCATCCCAACCCCATAACCCCACATTTACCATGGTTAACAGCTAATCCGCCTTCAGACAATTTAACATGGCCAATCCACCTAACCTGCACATCTTTGTGACTGTGCAAAGAAACCTGAGAATCCAAGTTCACACAGACACGAGAAGAACATGAAAACACTACCCAAACAGTTGCCCATGCTTAGAATTGAGCATTAGTCCTTGGCACTGTGAGGCAGCAGTGCTAACCACTATCACTGTGCTGCCCCACACTTTGACACACACACATCCTGTTCCAATAATCTCGTGCACTGTTTGAACTAGTGAGAACACACCCTGCCCAGCCGGGGCAAGTTTTAGATTGTGAATGTTTGACACAGGACTTTGGTGCAGTGTGTCACATGTTGTGGCACTTCATACCTAGGGTCTATTGACATTCTGTTTGTCATTGATCTTACACACGTTTGCTCTCGTAGTCATGATCCCTGAGCCAATCCCTCCTGCCAGACCAAACTTAGACTTGACCATCAACCTCAATCGCACTCAACCTTCAGAGCTGTGTTGGACTGACCCTGGAGGTGTGGTCTAGTGTCAGCACTGAGCGTAAGAGGTTGGTTTTTATCTTGAATACCTCACTAGCAGACATGGTTTTATTTTGTGCTGAGCTGCATTTCCTGCCTTTCCTTCCAGACCCTTGAGTTGTTTCACTTTCTGCTCCCTGTAATGCAGTTGTGTGTGTGTGTGTGTGTGTGTTTTTTCACAAGCTGGGCGAAGGCTCAGACAGCTTATCTCTGACTCATTACTGCTACAAATATGCTCAATATTTTGAAGCTGCTGTCTTGGCAAGTATGGTTAGTGGTAAGTCTACCCAGTGACACCGAGAATAGTTGTCCGACAGCTTAGTTGGAGGGACGGTGTACAGTATTTCACGGTGCAGCAACCGCCTGTATTGAAAGAGGGATTCTGTCATATCAGGGCACATTTGGTGTGACTACGCCTCCCTTAGTGTTGCAGCAGTGAGTTAGCCATTCCCTCTGGCTTCTTTGGGGGATTCTTGCTCAACACAAATCCCCTCTCATCCTTCTCCCGCCCTCTGTTGCGTCCTTGCCACCAAACTCGCCCTCTACCACCAGAAGGCCCAGGGCATCAGGCCCAAGGGCAGATCACCCCCTCCTGTCTGTGAGTTAGGGTAATTGCTGGCAGGAGACAGTCTGTTTTCTGTAGTGAGGGGACAACCATTTGTGCTCCACCTGCAATTTCTCCTCCAAGCTACTCACCATCCTGACTCCAAACATATTACTGTTACTTCACACTCGCTGATTCAAAATTCTGGCACTCCCTCAGCATTGCGGACGTACCTATGTTGCACAGACTGCAGTGATCACCACCACCACCTCCTCAAGGGGTAACCTGGGATGGGCAACAAATACTGGCGATGCCAGTAACACTGACATCCTAAGAATAAATGTAAAGCGACACTGACCGGTGTTGAAGGTACTCATGAAACAAGTTAATCTCTTTTACCCTGTGGTCTGTCTGTCTGTCACAGACCCAGAGTTCTGTGCTCACTGTGGTTCGCTACTCCCAGAGAGCACAACTCCCTTCATTGACACCACCCTTCATGGAGGCCAGTTCAAACTGCTCCTCTCTCTTCGACACTTGGTAAATACAAGTTCCCACATTCCAATATGTTCATGGTAGTGACCAGAACAGAAATAGTGTATTTTTGGCAGTAGACACTCAATAGCCTAAACGGCCTATTCAGTACTGTGACTCTGTGCAACAGAGAGATTTCCTTTTGGATTGAAACTTTGCAAAAGATCTGTCTCTGTGGGCTGAGATCAGAGACTGCTGATCCTATTATCTGACCCATCATCCATTGAGACTATAGCTGATCTATAACTTAATTTTAAATACAATTGTCTTTGTTCCACCTTCTTTCATTCCTCACGTGAACAAAGATCAATCAGTCTCCAATTTCAAAATTGCCTGTATTTGAGCATCAACTTCTATTTGTGGAAGAGCTTTCTAACCTTCTGCCACCATTCATGGAAAAATATTTCCTAATTTCATTCTTCAAAGAACTGGTTCAAATGTGTACACCCTGCCCCCTTAGTCTTAGACTCCCCAACCAACAGAAATAGTTTCTCTGTTTCCCTTAATATTTTAAACTCTGATCAGATCACCCCTTAACCTTCCTAAATAGCAGTGAGGGCCTGGTTTCTGTCATCTGTCCCTGGTACATTAACCCTTGGAGCACAGTCGTTGTTCTGGTAAATCTGTACAGCGCTCCTCCCTAAAATAGGGCTGATTTTAACCTATCCTGCTTTAAAATGGTTCCCTCTCCCAGTGACACATTTGTATCCAGGGCCGCTCACTAGTTACAGCAGCTGAGCAGCTTAAGAAGTCTAAAGGGTTGTTACGGCAGACATAGAGGAGAACCATTTCCTCTGGTTGAGGAGAGAGTCCAGAGCCCAGATGCAAGTGAGGCTGTTTAGGGGTGATGTCAGGGAGAGATACTTCACACTGAGGGCAGTGGAAATCTGGAACTCTCTCCCACAAAGCCAGTAGTTGAGGTCATCTGCGATCAAACTGAACGGCAGAACAGGCTTGAGCTGCTAAATGGCATCTGTTCCTTCAGACTTAAGCAGGCTGCACTGTTGTGCATTCCAGGCTGTCAAATCTCACTGTCTGCACTGAAGAGTGGCCTCTTCAGGAATGCCTCTACTGCTGAAGGCTTCTGACTGTGGACAGGAATTGCTGTCCAGAGGGAGGCTGCAGACTGAGTCCGAATCTGTACCCCTTTGTCTGGCGTTTTGGTATTATGGACGCATGTGGTGAACATTAAATATTTAACAGGCAACACTAGACACCGATGAAAAACTGGATAGAGGGAAAACTACCAGGGCAAGAAACCTGACACGACCGCAATAAACACACACAGGATGCAGCGGAAAAGAAGGAATCTGGAACTGAATGACACAACGTCTTACAGATCAGCCTAGGCACCATGACTGCTGCTCTGGGCAGTCTGTGAGGCTGGTCCGATGGCTAGTGCGCAGAAACTGGTTTGTGGTCTGGGAATGGAGGCAGGAATGAGTGGGAGGTGGGAGTGTGCAGGGCCACAACGCACAGGAATCTGGGTGTATACGGTGCATAAACCATTAACAGTACCAGAGTGGGTGGAGTGAGAGCAATTAATAAAGAAAAGTGTCCCTGGCATAGGCTGCAATAATTTGGGAACGGGGGTGGATTCAATTGAAGGGGAATTTTTTAAAATCCAAGAGAAATGAGAGGGCAGAGTGCAAGATCGTGAGGAGGCAAGCAATAATCAAAGTGTGACAGGAAGGGGCAGAAAATATCCACCGAAGAGCACAGCAGAAATTACAACCAGTGTTAAGTAACAGTGGGAACAAGTCACAGCTTAAGGCTCTTTATCTGAATGCACACAGTATTTGTAACAAGATAGAGGGGTCAATGGCACAAATAGAATAAAAGAATATGACTTGGTAGCTATTTTGGAGATATGGTTGCAGGCTGACCAGGACTGTTCCATCTTGAACCATCCCCAGAAGACAGAGGGTGGTGGTTAAAAGCTGTTTGTATGTCTAGACACTGGTGTCCAGTGGTGCACCACAGGAATCAGTGCTGGGTCCTGTATATCTCACGAACAATAATGAGATGATGAGTAAGTTTGTAGATAACACAAGATTAGCCCGGTAGGTGACAGTGAGGAAGAAGTTTGCGGGATGATATAGACAGGTTGGATACCTGGGCAGACCAGCGGCAGATGGAGTTTAACCATGATAAGTGTGAGCACTTTTGAAGAAGTAACAAGACAAGGGAATATTCAATGAATAGCAGGACACTAGGAAGTTCAGAGAAACAGAGGGTTCTTGGAGTGCTTGACGACAGATCCCTGAAGGTGGCGGGACAGGTTAACAGAAAAGTAAGAAGGGACACTTTTTTTCTTTTCTATATTCACTAATGGGATGATTGTGTCGCTGGCTAGACAGCATTTAATGCCCATCCCTAATTGCCCAGAGGGCAGTTCAGAGTCCACTACATATTGCTGTGGGTCTGGAGTCACACGTAGGCCAGACCAGGTAAAGATGGCAGTTTCGTTCCCTAAAGGACATTAGTGAACCAGATAGGTTTTTTCCGACAATCAACAATGGATTCATGGTCATCATTAGATTCTTAATTCCAGAATTCAAATTCCACCGTCTGCTGTGGCGGGATTCAAACCTGGGTCCCTGGAATGTTATCTGGGTCTCTAAATTAACAGTCCAGTGATAATACCACTAGGCCATTTCCTTCCCTTGTGGTGCAGGGAGTTCATGTTGGAGCTGTACACCGCTTTGATTAGACAAGAGCTGGAGTACTGTCTGTAACTCCGTTCATCTCCCTACAGGAAAGATTTGATTACACTGGAGGGGGTGCAGAGACAATTCGTCAGGATCTCGCCTGAGATGAAGCATTTTGGATTTGAAGACAGGCTGAATGTGCCTGTGTTGTTTTCTTTGGAACTGAGAAGGCTGAGGGGGGACCTGATTTAGGTGTAGAAGATTGAGGGGGATAGACTGGAAAGCAGCTATTCCTGTGAATTAAAAGATCAATGAGGAAGGGGGCATTATTTTAAGGTTTTAAGGCATTTTATTTTAAAGTATTTATTTTAAGGGCAGCAGTTTAGAGGGGAGTTGAGGAAAATTGTTTTCACCCACACAGCAGTAGAGTTGTGGAATACGCTGCCTGGGTGGGTTGTTGAGCTTGGAAACCTCTCAGCCTTTTAAAAAGGATGTGGGTGAGCATTTGAAATGTTATAACATTGTAGGCTATGGGCCAAGTGCTGGAAAGTGGAATTCATGTAGATAGGTCGATGCAGATCCCTTGGGCCAAAGGACCTCTTCTGTGCTGTATGACTCCAAGACTGTAATACTGGCAACTCAATATGTAAGGGAACTCGAAGTTCCAGGAAAATAGGTGGGGTAGCTTTGTTAATGAAGGAAGGAAGCAGTGCAGTGGTGACATTGGTGCAATAGATTGTGATGTGGAATTGATTTGGGTGGAAATGAGGAATAATAAGGGCAAGAAGGAAAGGGTGAGAGCCGTCTCTAGGCCCCAAAGAGTTTCCTCACTAGGACTAAGTATAAATCGGGAATTAACAGAGGGGAATGCAATTGTCGTGGGTGATTTTAATCTGCATATTTACTGGATAAATCAGATGGGCAGTGGTGACATGGAAGATGAATTTGTAGAGTGTAGTATGCTCTAAGATTGATTCTTAGAGCAGTACTCTGCTGCACCTACCTGAGAATATGCTATTATCGATCTAGTGAAGTGTAATATTGTTGAATTGTTAAAGATCTAGTAGCTAATGTTACTCTGGGAGTGGTGATCATTACCTGGTAGAATGTGAAATACAGTTTGAGATTAACTCCAGTTTTAACTCAGATCCTCAACTAAGGGCCGTTACAGAGGTATGAACAGAAGCTTGGAAAAATAGATTAAGGGGAAGATCTGTCGATGTGGCAGATATTTAAGCTGATATTTTGTCCTTTATAAAATTATAAATTTATTCCAGTCAAAAATAAGGACTGGGTGAGAAAGATTAAGAATTCGTGGTTAACAAAGGCAGACATGGAGAGCATCCAATCAAAAACTAAATCATACAAAGCAGTGAAAGGGTTCTTGTGGCCGAATTGTAATGTCCCTGCCTTTTGAACCAGGAGGTAAAGGTTCAAGTTTCACCTGGTGCAGAGGTCTGTATGAACACCTCTGAAGAGTTTGATTGGAAAATATTTACAAAATGGTGAAAACTAGTTGTAGGCCAGAGAGTTGGCAATCCTTTAGGATACTAGCAGAAAGTGACTGAAAAGCTAATAAAGAGGGAGAAAATTGATTATGGAAATAGAAAGCAAGAAACATGAAAACTAATGACAAGAGCTTCTGAGGATATATAGGGCAGCACGGTGGCTCAGTGGTTAGCACCGCTGCCTCACAGCGCCAGCGACCCAGGTTCAATTCCACCCTCGGGTGACTGTCTGTGTGGAGTTTGCGTATTCTCCCCGTGTCTGTGTGGGTTTCTGCCGGGTGCTCCGGTTTCCTCCCCCAGTCCAAAGATGTGCAGGTTAGGTGGATTGGCCGTACTAAATTGCCCAGGGGAGTGTAAATTAGGTGGATTAGATATGGGAAATGCAGGGGTAGGGGCATGGGTCTGGGTGAGATGCTCTTCAGAGGGGCGGTATAGACTTGTTGGGCCGAATGGCCTGTTTCCACACTGTAGGGATTCTATAAGAAGAATAGTGAAAGTAAGTGTGGGAGCCTTGGATTCGACTGGAAAATTGATAATGGGGAACAAGGAAATGGCTGATGGTTTATGCAAAATACTGGCTTCAGTCTTTGTGGCGGAGGGTACTACAAACATTCCAAAGATATCAGATAGACAAAGTATTTGACAAACTCATGGAATTGAAGGCAGATGAGTTTTCAGGACATGATGGCCTTCCAGGTTTTTAAATGATGTGGCTGCAGAGAGTGGTGCGCGTGGGTTATGGGTTACGATGTGTGGAATGGGAGTGCTGACATCCGATGGAAGGGGATACTCCTGTAACCTCAGGTGGGTTTAGGAAGGGGGCGCACTCAGTGCCCCGGATATACTTGTTCAAGTCAATATCTTTAAAAATCACGTTGATATTTGTTACTTTTTGTCTGAAAACAGGAAGTGACGTGCATGTTTCCTGGAGAGAGCTGTGATGACATCGCCTTAAGTATCTGGGGGAGACTGTGCAGATCAGTCACTTGGATTAATCCCTCGCTTTATCATGGTAGGTTGTCAATGTTGTAAGTGATCATTCCTTCAAGAGTGAACAAGGATCTACTCCAAAGATTGCCCATTGGAGCATATCAAAGGGATTGGTTACCTACAACGGGAGCTGGTTAGGATGGGGAGAGATCAGACTGGAGTTTGAATTGAGTAACATAATGCAAATAAACCATTGTGGAAGACAGACCAACTCCAGCTTCTTGCTCCATCAAATGGAATGGGACCTTGTGTTTTATTTTCCCAGTGGCAATGTGGTGGTAACAGTTTGGAGGCAGTGGGGGTGTGCTAGGATTGGGGAGGTCAGAGCTAGGGGGAATCTAGGCACATTTTGTTGCCTGCACAGTGTTAAGGTCATCAACAGCAGGCAAAATCGGCAATCAAATGGCAAGAACCTATTTTCTACTCCTGTGAACCCAATCCCCATCCTTTCCCATGTTTGCCCCCTTCTCCCCCTCCAACATCCTGGGGCTCTTCTCCAACCCTCTCCTCACCGGGTCTGCCTCTTCTCCCCCCCCCACCTAACCCCTCCTCTATCTCCACCCTGCCCCTCTTGTTAATCTGCATTGTGCTGTCTAATCAGTGTTTTCTTCTGGTGTTCACTTCACCGTTCGGGTGTTGCACTGAATTTCTGATTTTGAACTCAATGCTCCAATCACTAATTTAGGATCCTTGAATCTTTCGTCATTTTACCTGATGCTGTTTTGCGGCTTTGAGGGTAGACCTAGACTACTGCAGCCTCGTGCTCATTGATGGGTAATTCAACTGCATGGGACATCACACAATCCAGCAGGGCTTGCTGGGTGTGAGCTGAAGCCTTGGTTGGTTGAAACTCTCACCAGATAATGTTGTACACATCGACATTGACTGTGGGACAATTATCTGCCTGCTGATTCATGCCACTGCTGTTTTAAGACCAAAGACATTGGATGTTATTGCTAGTGTTACTTTGAATATAATGGTATGACTCTCCTATTTCGTCCCTCCTCACCACTCCGAAATATGAAGAGATGTCCGGTGGGCAATCCTGGCTGTGTCTCGAGCGCAGTCTAATCTCCACTCTTTCTGTCTGATTTTCAGTGATCTAAAACCTGGACGAGCCCATGGGTTCTCCTTGTGTGTCAGCTGTACATGTAAGATTGACCATTGAGCTGTCCACATGGGTAGCTGGAAAATGAGCAGAGTAACTTCATGATTACATGACTCTCGACATGGATACTGTCCTGTCAGACTTTGTTCGCTCGACGGGGGCAGAGCCTGGACTAGCACGGGACCTGCTTGAAGGTGAGAAGACCCAGGATGGGTAAGGACTAACAGTATTATCAGGCCATACAGACACAGTCTGAGGCTGATAATCCTGATGTACTACAATTTACTAGATCAGTCCTCAAACTAATACCATTGCTCTGCGCTTTCCCCACAGTCCTGTACCAAACCTAAACTAATTCATTTGCCTGGCTCTCTCCCTATAACACTGTACCAATCCCAAACTAATTCCACTGCCTGTGCTCTCTCCATAACCCTGTATCAATCCCCGAACTAATCCCACTGCCCGTGCTATCTCCACATAACACTGTACTAAGCCCACTGCCCTGCACTCACCCCATTGCCCTGTACCAATCTCAAACTAACCCCACTGCCCATTCTCTCCCCATAACGTACCAATCCTAAAGTAATTCCACCGTCTGGTTCTTTCCCTGTAGCCCTGTATCAATCCACAAGCTAATCCCACTACCTGCTCTCTTCATTGCTCTGTACAAATCCCATTGCCACAAACTCACCCCACAACCCTGTACCAATCTTAAAATAATTTCATTGCCCTACTTTCTCCCCATAGCCATGTATCAATCCTAAACTAATTCTATTGTCCTGCTGTTTCTTCGTCCACGTGCTAATCCCACTGTCCCACTCTCTTAAACACTGTCAATCTCAACCCGATCCCACCACTCTTCTCTCCACAGCCATGAATCAATTCATCTCTCCATTCCAATGCTGTCTCTTACATTCCCCCAAGCCCTCTCTCGATCTCTTTCCTATGCCCCCCACGGCCCCTCACTTTTCCCAGCTACATCTCACTTTCCTCCTCCCCTACTGCAGTCTTTTACAAGTGCTGAGAGTGTTGAAAACACTGGCCTATCTTGCAGGAAAAAACTGGGACATCACTGCAGCGCTCAGTGATTTCGAACAACTCCGCCAGGTGAATGCTGGGAATTTACCTTACTCTTTTAATGAAGGACGAGGGGTCAAAATGCAGGAAAAGGAACCATCAAGAGTTGGGCGGTCTGTACTGCAGCGACAGGATGACCCAGTACCAGGTGAGCTTTGACCTCTGTCTACACTTCGCAAGAGGCGCTCCGTCCATTCAGACTGAGTGAAGGCATGGTTTCTTCACTCAAATGGTTGTGACATTTTAGAACTCTCCACCCTTGAGGGGGGTGAATGTTTAATTATTGAGTACATTTAAGGCTGACGTGGACGTATTTGAGGTTTCTCAGAATTGATGGATATGGGGGAGGAGTCAAGTAGACAAGTGGGATTGTGGCAGAATTGAACAGTGGGTCAGGCTGGATGGACCAAATGGTCTGTTGCACCGTTTCCTTCTATTTTCTGAACTTTTTTATGCTGCATGCAGGTGTCAGATGGGACAGCAACAGCTATGTAGGGAGGGGGCCATGCGACCCTGTGCGGGAGGGGCGGGGGTGGGGCACGTGTCCCTGTGCGGGAGGGGGGAGGGTGCCCCATGTCCCTGTGCGGGAGGGGGTAGGGACAGGGAGGGTGCTCAGTCTCCCCATGCGAGAGGGGGGAGGGCGCCCCACGTCTCCAGGGGTAGGGATGGGGAGGGTGCTCCGTGTCCCCATGCGGGAGGGGGAAGGGTGCCCCGCATCCCCGTGAGGGAGGGAGGTAGGGACAGGGAGGGGGCTCTGTGTCACCGTGCAGGAGGACCCCATGTCCCCAGCCTCCCCATGTGGGCGGGTTTGGGGGGAGGGCCCCGTTTCCCAGGTCTGAGACAGTATTGGTAATAAATGGAATGCGATTTTTGTTTTAAAATTCTGCCATTTAACAGTAATGTTTTACTTTGAACAGAGAAGCGGCTGACTCGGGGAATCTCTCATGCCAGCTCCACCATTGTTTCTCTAGCACGTTCCCACATGTCGAACAATGGCAGCAATGAGCATTCGGTGGATACTCCTATCTGCACCTTCCAACTGCCTGATCTGACTGTTTATCGCGAAGATTTCCGGAACTTCATTGAGAGAGATTTAATCGAACAGTCCATGCTCGTGGCTCTGGAGCAAGCTGGTAAGTGACACGACTGTCTGTCAGTCGCCATTGGCTTTGGTTTAATCAGCCACCAACCTGGGAGTGGGTGTTAGGTGCAGTGGCCAGAGACAAAGCGCATTGCTATGTGTTCTCATGGCCAGGGTCCTAGCGATCTAGTTCATTAGGTTAATGTAAGGGCCTCTGTTCCTGTGTTGCTATATCACCAATGTGTTGGCAGCGTACATCAGCGTGAATGAAGCATCCTGTCTTGGTAACTGATCTCATGACAATGTAACATCATGATCCACTCTGGCTGAACTGGAGAACAAAAACCAGGAAGTAGAACCCAAGCCATTTGTATTTTTACCCAAGCCCAGTGATTGAATTTCAGTCAGTGCATTGAGAAGTATGCTCTTGTGTCCACGGTTTAATGGGCAGGACCAACATGGATGTTAAAATTCACTGGTGAATTCATGTCAACATTCTGTGTTTAGATAACTGAAACCTCAGTCTGAAGAAAGCATACTGAGATCACAATGTGGTTCAATGCAAAGTAAAACTTCACTGTCCCTGTTCAACACTCCCAGGACAGGGACAGCACGTGGTTAGACAGATTAAATCTCTCTCTACACTTTTGAAATTAAATGAAAGGAAAGATACCTTGACACTATCCCCATGAAACACACTCAGATCAGGGGCAGAATGTAGTTAGATGCACAGTTAAGCACCTTTAGTCTTTAAAACCGAAGAGAAAAGCCTTGCTATTCTTTTATATTGAAAATGGAGCTACCCCAACACTATCCCCATCAAGCACTTGCAGAACAGAGACGACACTGGGTCAGATACAAGGTAACGCTTCCTCTAAATTGTCGCTACCAAACACTCCCAGGGCAGGGACAGCACAGGGTTAGATAAAGCTCCTGCTAATCTTTCAAACTTCTTTTAAACTGACAGAAAAGCTGTTTCTACTCTTTTTTTTTTTAAACTGAAAGTAAGCCTACTTCAACACCATCCTCATCAAATACTCAGGACAGGGATACCATGGGGTTAGATACAGAGAAAAGCTACGTCTACTCTTTTAAACTGAAAGTAAAGCTCCCTTGACACTGTCCCCATCAAATATTCCTAGGGCAGTGACAGGACGAGGTTATATTCAAAGCAAAGATGCCTCTGCTCTTTTAAACAGAAAGTTAAACTCTTTCTATACTATACCCATCAAACACTCCTAGGGCAGGTACAGCATGGGGTTAGATACAGTGTAATGCAACCTCTACTGTTTTAAACAGATAGTAAAGTTCTTTCTACTCTTTTAAACTGAAAGTAAAACTCCCTTGACACTGTCCCCATCAAACGTTCCCAGGACAGCGACAGCACAGGGATGAATACAGAGTAAAGCTTTCTCTACTCTTTTTTTTTTCAGTGGAAACTAAAGCTCTCTCTATGCCGTCCCCATCAAACACTGCGCTCCCTCAACCCTGATCCCTGAATATTTTAACCCAATGACACTGAAGAAACGATGATACGCTTCCAAGTTACGATAGTGAGTGACTTGGCTGGAACTTGTAGGTGGTGGCAGGCCCATGGATGCTGGGGACTAGGCCTTCTTGATGATTGTGGTCAGAAACAGAAACTAGGAGCAGGAGTAGACCATTCAGTCCTTTCACCCTACTCCACGATTCAGTATGATCATGGCTGATCATCCAAATCAGTACCCTGTTCCTGCTTTCTCCCTATACCCTTTCAACCCTGTTGTCCTAAGGACTTTAACTATTTCATGAAAATGTTCAATGCTTTGACCTCAATTGCCTTCTGTGGCAAAGAATTCCACAGGCTCACCTCTCTCTGGGTGAAGAAATTTCTCCTCAGCCCAGTCCTAAATGGCCTACTCTGTATCCTTAAAAGTCTGACCCTTAGTTCTGAACTGTCTGGTGGTCGTCAGGAACATCTTTCCTATGTTTATCCAGGTTGTGGGTTTGGAAGATACAGTCGAAGGAAACTTTGTGAGTTCCTGCAGTGCATCTTGTAGAGGTACACATTACTACTACTGAGCATCAGAGCTGGAGGCAGTGAAAGTTAAAAGTAATGAATGTGGTGCCATTCAAGCAGGCTGCTTTATCCAGGTGGCGTCGAGCTTCTTGAATGTTGTTGGAGCTGTACCCATCCAGGCAAGTGGGGAGTGTTTCATTACGCTCCTTACTCTTGCCTTATGGTGGGCAGACTTTAGGGAGTCAGGAAGTGAGTTACTCACTGCAGGATTCCCAGCCTCTGACCTGCTCAGTTCAGTTTCTGCTTCTGAGAAACTGGTAGAGAGCTGGAATTGTCAGGTCCTGTAGGTTTGCTGAGTGTGTTCCATGTTTTTGAGATCTCCTCCTGTCAGTCTGCTGCAGTGTTCTCTCTGTGGACACTGAGATTTGTCCTAATGACACAGTGTACTTTGAATACAGTCTCTGAGAAATGACAATGTATTTGATACTGATTTTGCTGTTTCCTGTTCCTCTCAGGACGTTTAAATTGGTGGGCAAATGTTGATGCCAGCTGCCAGCGCTTGTTACCCCTAGCAACTACTGGTGATGGGAACTGTCTGCTTCATGCTGCTTCATTAGGTAAGTCTGATCCATAAAAGATCCAGGCAATGTTCTATTGAACACCAGACTCCAGTTTGGAACTGCCTTCATCTGGAGAGGCCTCAGGGTCTGTGTAAGACCCGACCTCTGGAGGTGGGGGAAGACTCGGGATCTGTGTAAGACTCGCCCTCTGGGCGGGATTCCCTGTTAGGCTGAGTGATGAATTGTTGGATTGTTTGTGATTTGTGTACAGGGATGTGGGGATTCCATGATCGGGATCTAATGTTAAGGAAGTCTCTGTATTCCATGATGGAGAAAGGAGGGGAGAAAGAAGCTTTGAAAAGGAGGTGGAGGTGGCAACAAACACAACAGAACAAGGAGGTAAATAACTCTCAGCAACACGCAAGCCCTCCTCCTCATCGTGTCTTGCGGTCTGTGGTATGTTTATGTTTATCTGGTGGAGAACGCCAGCTCCCAACCTCACTGCTGTTTAAGCTGCAACATAACAAGTGCTTGTATCCTCTCTTGATCTGTGTGACTCTCCTCACTCCCTCACAGTCTGGGCTTGTTTACACTGAGGAGGAGTGGCAGAAGGAATGGGACGAGTTGATAAAGCTGGCATCCAGTGAACCACGTATTCATTACGGAACCAATGGAAGTGGCTGTGGAGGGTACGTATGGGCAGTGGGTAGGAGGGGAGGGTACATGTGGGCAATGGGCAGGAGAAGTGTGTACATGTGGGCAATGGGGCAAGATGGAGGGTATGTCTGTGTGAGGGGAGGGGATTTCTGTGTGCTGGCAGTGAGACAGGATGGGTGGATGTAGGATGGAGGCAGGGGGAGAATTGGGTTGTGGGGGTGGAGGATGGAGCATTGGGGCAGTAAGCAGATCCAGGTTTAGGGCAGGGAGGAGCCGGATTGAAGCAGGGAGTCTTGGGGCAGGGGGAGGATGGGGGATTGGGGTGGGCAGGGGGAAGATGGGGGATAGGGGCGGGGAGGGGGAGGATGGAATGAACGTTGTGGTGGGGTGGATGGTGAAGGTGGGGTGGCAGGTTACGTACGGGGAAGATTAGGACATGGGTGCTCAGATGGGGGTGACTGGGTTCATGGGGTGGGGGCATTCATGGGAGATAGGGCTCAGGCCTGAGGCAATTAATGGAATTGGGTGTAGAATTGGGACTAGGGTGAGAGAGAGAGAGAGAGAGAGAGAAGGAAGAGGGAGGGAGGGCTTCAACTCTGAGGTAAGATTGCTGAGGGGATTAAGGATTGGGCGGCAGTTTCCTGTTGTGAGCGGCTGATTGTGACTGTGCTGTTTGTATCGTTCAGGAGATTGCCAACGACGACCTTCCCTGCTCTCAACAGGCAAGTAACGCTGAGGATGGGCCTTCATTTTTCGGGGTGGTGGTGGGGTGTCAGCTATGATTCTAGTCTGAGTTCAGGGGCAATGAGGACAGGCTCTATCTCAGGAATTAATTCACTGGATCTAGTGATGTTTGTTCTCTCACACTCTGCCTGGGAGATCATGGGGAGGAAGTCACTCATCCTTCATGGGATTCTCCTGATACTGGCCCAACCCTGGGCCGTGATACAGAGACAGAGAGGGACAGGGGCCACGGAGCAGTGTGATTGGAGCCCTGACATTGGCGATCCTGCTTGGCCACTTGCTTCACAACTGGGATTTGAGGATCAGCTTAGTTTTCGTGTGCTGAATTTGTCTGCTTATCTGCAGTTCTCTGGAAGCAGACTGTGGCACTGTTCATGCCAATAACAGAATGTCTCTTACAGTGTGGACAGCTCGGAGGAACCTGTGTACGAGAGTTTGGAGGAATTCCATGTCTTTGTGTTAGCACACGTCCTGCGAAGGCCGATTGTGGTAGTAGCCGACACCATGCTCAGAGACTCGGGTGGAGAAGGTAGGTGTGAGTGTATCCTCACAGAACCCCTAAGGACATACAACACAGGACAGATAGGGTTAAACTTACTCTACTGTTTTAAATTGGAAATAAAGCACTCGACACTGTCCCCATCCAACACTCCCAGGACAGAGGCAGCACGGGCTTAGATGCATAGACTTATAGAATCCCAACAATGTGGATATAGGCCATTCAGCCCATCAAGTCCACACCAACCCTCCAATGTGCAGCCCACCCTTCTACCCTATCCCTGTAGTTTCCCATGGCTAATCCACCTAACCTGCACATCTTTGGAAGGAAGCTGGAGGAAATCTGCACACACATAAAGAGAACGTGCATACTCCGCACTCACAGTCTCCTGAGGGTGGGATCGAACCTGGGTCCCTGGTGCTGTGAGGCAGCAGTGCTAACTATTGAGCCACTGTGCCGCCCAGAGTAAAGCTCCCTCTGCACTGTGCCCAATTCCACACACACTTTGCAGCTGGCAGTTGTAGCTGTCCGGTGTCCTGTCTTGGATTCTCTCTTTCTGAAATAGTGTGAACCCCCATACACTCAGGACTGAGACTGAGACTGTTGCTTGATACTGGCCTCCCACCAACAGGGTCACGTATTTGGCTCTGCGAACAGAATCTAGATTTTTGTACACTGTAGAGTGTCCTTGAATTGTTGCTCCCGTTGTATGCTAGTTTTTTTTTAGGGTTTTTTTTTGCAGTGTCTGACGCCCACAAGGACAGTTATTGGGTGCCAAATGTGTTTTCCTTGCTTGGGGGATGTCTCGAGCAGACACTGTTATACTGGCAGCTTCTCTCTGTTTTACTGAGTGCCCAGCTGTATTGACTGGGAATTACTGTGCTTGCTTTACAGCATTTGCTCCCATACCATTCGGGGGCATCTACCTGCCACTCGAGGTTCCAGCCAACAAGTGCCATCGATCCCCACTGGTCCTGGCCTATGATCAGGCTCACTTCTCTGCACTGGTATCCATGGAACAGAGAGAGACCAGCAAAGAACAAGGTACTGATGCAGGTATACTCAACACTTCCCTGTTACTGAGGAGTCCGGGTGGTTGTGAGAATTCTCCCTCAATCTCCTCGCAGCAATCTCCTCTCGTTCTCCCGCAAACATCAATAAAACAGTTGAACTTGTCAGTGCTGTTTTGGGGATTTTGTCATGTGCAAATTGGCTGCCACAGTTCCTACGTGATGAAAGTGGCCACATATCAGTGCTGCAGAGCAGTTTGGGATATCCTTCAGGTGGTAGAAGGTGCTATATAAATGCACTTTCTTTCCTTACCAGCCTCATAATGACAAATTGAGCTTGTGAATTTTACCTGGCCACAAAGCTGCTCTCCAACTCCCTGTCCTCCAGTCACACTGTCACTCCCACTCCCATCAGTTTCTAATCATCTCCTCTCATCCCTCCTCCAGCCGTGATTCCTCTGACTGACTCTGAACACAAGTTACTTCCGGTACATTTTGCAGTGGATCCAGGGAAGGATTGGGAATGGGGACAGGATGACAATGACAATGTGCGATTAGCTAGGTACGTATAAACCAGTCTGTAAGCTGAATGAAGCTTGCTGGAAATCTGTGAATAATTTCATTCTTCTGTCAGAACAACAAAATTGTACCCAATCTCAACTCCCAATTTCCTTAAACACACGAGGACAGAAATTGCTGCAGAAGCATAGCAGGTCTGGCAGCACCTGTGGAGGGAAAGCAGAGTTCATGTTTTGAGTCCAGTGACCCTCCTCCAGAACTGTTAGCAGCTGGGAAAGGGTGGGGTTAATGCTGAAGGTGGGGATTGGAGGAAAAGGAGTGAGTGGGGAGGTGGAGAGGGAGTCCAGAGAGAGAGAGTCAGGGGAAGATACAGGTTAGACAGACAAAGGGATTGAGATCGGAAGCCAGGGAAGACGAGAAGCTAATAAGTAATAATGGGGGCTATGAGTGGATGAAAATGGATTGCTGTGCTGAAAGCAGCCCATGTCATGACACGGTCTCGGGTGTGGGGTTGGGTAAAGGACATGAAAGGAGGTTTTCATGCTGTAAGATTGTTAAGCTTGACATTGAGTTCAGAAGGCTGTAGAGTTCCCAAGTAGAAAATGAGGTGCTGTTCTTGCAGCTTGCGCTGAGCTTTGCTGGAGCATTACAGCAAGCCCGAGAGAAAGGTGTTGGCCAGGAAACACGGTGGTGTGTAGAAGTGGCAGGCAACCTGAAGCTTGGGGTCATTTTACAGACGGCGTGGGTGTTCCATAAAGCAAGCACCCATTTTTAACTTTTCGCACATATTTCAGGGGATGTAGGTGTTTCTGGTATCTGTTGCCTGTCCCTAATTAGCCCTCAAACTGACAGTCAGGTCTTTTGAGGGCATATATGCATCAGCCACGTTGCTATGGTCTGGAGTCACATGTAGGCCAGACGAGGTAAGGACGTCAGATTTCCTTCCCTAAAGCAGATGGGTTTTTATAATAATCAATGATAGTTTTGTACGGGAGAGAGTGCAGTGCGAGAATATCCATGTAGTATTCACTGTGTCTTAGATCAGTTGGCCGATGGGCTGAGGTTACAGAATGCCCATCACTAGGCCGTGCCTTTGGGGAACTGCAATCTGTGTCAGTTTTCCAATCATTCAACATTGCCCTGTGTTTCCACAGTTGCTACTGAAGGTGTCCCTGTTAAAATCTCCTTGTTGCTCAGAGCAGAGGGGGCAATGTGGCTCACTGCCTACTCAGCCCTGCTGTGGTCTGCAGACGATACTTTCCACAGGAGTCCACATGTCACCTGACAGTGACAGGAGTGTGCGTGTGTGGGATTTCTCATCTCTGATGTGTATGTGGACATTTTTCTTCTTGTCACCCTCTGTCCCCATTTCATTCTCTATCCCTCCCTTTCAATATGCCTCTCTCCCTCCTCTGTCCCTCTCTGTGTCTCCCTCCCTTGTATCTGCCTTCCTCTCTCTCTCTGCCCCTCTCGCTGCCTGCCCATGCCCTACCCCTCTCGCATTGTGCATCTCTCTGTCTCGGTCTCGGTCTCGGTCTCTCTCTCTCTTTCTCTGGCCCTCGCGCTCTCTCTGTCTGGCTCGCTTGCTCTCTAGCTCGCGCTCTCGCTATCTCTTTGTCCTCCTTAAGTGAAGTTCCTGTCTGTTTGCCTGCAGTGTGACTCTCTCATTGGAAGCCAAGCTCCACCTGCTGCATACCTACATGAGTGTGACCTGGATCCAAGTGGCCTGTGAAGCCCAGGTGAGTGATGGTGGGTAGCAGTGACTGAGGGAGTGCTCTCAAACTACAATTTGATTACCTTTACCTCCCCTTGCGGCCTGTACGGTGACTGCCCCAAATCCCCTTCACAGTCTGTATGGTGTCACCTTGCCGCCACAGTCTTTACAGTGACCTCTTCCCCCTCCCCTGCCCCCTGCCCCCTGCCCCAAGTGTCCCTCTGCTGACCCCACTGACTGTATGAGATTGACCTGCTGTTTAACCTTGGCCTATCATTTGTGAGCAAGTGGGAGACCCCTTCACCAGATCCATTTTAGGGAATGTGCTCGGGAACTCCTTATCAGACTAATATCTGTGACTGTTCAATTCCCCTTGTAAACAGGCCATTCAGCCCATCTGGTCCACATCCCACCCCATTGCTTTCTCTGTGCTTTTTGTAAGTGGTAGTCATTGGGTGGTCCTGGAGTCACATGTAGGCCAGACTGCTTGAGGAGATTACCTTCTCCAATGGGCATATTTTCACCAAACACCTGTTGTAGTGACCCAGCCGAGTCTCCTTGTGCCTCTGGAGGGGCTGATGCCCAGTCAGATGCCAGGCCCAGAGTGTTTGACAAAGTATCAGTGTGCAGCAGCTGACCCTGGTACAATGGCCACTGTTTGATTCTACATTCCCAGAGCATTTGGCCTGACCTCTGGATTACTGCTGCGTCACCATCTCCCCTTAGACCCAAAGTGATCTCCAGCTCACGTTCTTCTTTTGGATGGTTTCGAGAGCACCCCCTTAACCGACCAGTCAGTCCTGGTCAGGTTGAAGCTCTCCATTGAGTGGAAGGGCTGGGAAGAGTTGTTGCTGTGTTGTGACTGTTGTGGTCTTTGTTGTAGCAAGCTCCCCTGGCCCAGCCCGAGTCTCCCAGTGCCTCCGGAGGGGATGATACCAGGTCGGTGGCTGAGTCTGGAGAATCCGACAAAGAGTCAGTGTGCAGCAGCTCCAATGGGAACAGTAGCAAGGCCGGTAGCAAGGAGAAAACCAAGAAAGACAAGGACAAGAGGAGAGCAGAGTCAGTGGCGAATAAACTGGGCAGCTTTGGTAAGAGTCTGGGCAGCAGGCTGAAGAAGAACATGGGCTTTATCCACAGTAAGGGCAGCAGAGGGAATGGGCAAAACGGCACGTTGGAGAAGACCAGGAAGAAGGGATCTCTGAAGTCGCAGAAAGGAGGCAAAGAGGGCGGCCTGACAGAAAGCAGTTCACCTGGAGACAGAGTAGGGGGTAGCAATCTGGCGAAATCACAGCCTGCTGACCCTTACAGGTACAGTAATGACGTAAAGCTCAGCCTCAGCATTCTACGAGCGGCCATGCAGGGAGAACGCAAGTTCATCTTCACAGGGCTACTTACCACCAGCCACAGGCACCCGTACCAGGAGGAGATGATCCAACGCTATCTGACCGATGCTGAGGAGCGTTACTTTGCAGAGCAGGAGCAGAAGGAGGCGAATAAGAGAGCGCCGTCAAACAGTAGCACAGTCAAGAAGGCTGATCAGGAGCTGTCTGCTCAAGCCAGGTTTGACTCGCAGGAGCGTCTGGTTGAGGACTCTGTCAGTGAGCTTCCTGTTAACCCTTATAGCCCCTCAGCTCAGGGCTACAATAGCCAGAGTGGGCCGCAGTCCCACACAGCAAAATTTCCCAACTACCAGGACCCTCCGTTCTCTGGCATTCTTTCCATCCCTCGACCCAGCCTGGTAATGACGGAGTTTAACTCCCCACAGCCCAGCTACAAGGAGACTAGGCGACAGGTTGCTGGTGGCTCCTACAATAACCTGCCCTCCTACGCTACCCTGCCCAGGCATTGCGGGCAAGGACACTCTGCTGTGGGCAGCCCTGCCCACTCCTCCTGCCACCCGCCCCCAACAGAGACAGATGAGCCTCCTGATTACCCCACCTCCTCCTGCAACAGCTCCTACCACAGCTTCAGCAATGGCTTCACAGAGCAGTCGGACTGCTTGGGGCCGGAGGGCTCCCAGGACCCAGTCAAAGGCAGGAACCTCTACTCCATCCAACAGACACGCTGTCGCCAGACAAACTGCAACTTCTATGGGCACCCGGAGACGGGGAACTACTGTTCATGTTGCTACAAGGAGGAGCTGAGAAAGAGGGACAGGGAGCCCCTGTCTCACAGGTTCTGAGCTCAGCACTTTATCCTGCAGCTCAGGCTCTGAGCACAAGATGGGAGATGCAATAATGGCTGCCCTTGGAGGTAAGGGGCAGAGGAGGAAGATCCCACGGGTAGAGGCCAGAGTCAGGTCAGGCCCCGGGAGAGTCCACGTTAGACGAAAGTACAAGTTTTGAAATGTTAACTTTTTCTTTTGATCTTGCCTCCTTTATTTCTGCAGTAAGCCCCCTCAGCCGTATATTTTGCAGAGATGTTGGTTGGTATTTTTGGTTTACTGAGCATTACGTGTGACATGCAAGGCAGAAACTGTTAGTATTTCATTCCTTCTCTCCAGAACACTCCACAGGGACACAAATCCCCACTTCCTCTCCTCTGTCCCTAACCTGAACCACAGCAGGAACCTGAGGGAGAGGAACCACAGCATAAAGCAGGAGGAACCTCTCTTCAAAAGCTGGCTGGCTTTCGAGAGACTGTGCTCGTCCGCAGTGTGGCCTAAAACTGACAGAGGTCTCACAACCTCTGATGTTCTCCAGCACTGCAGTCCCTACGTTGTCGCTGCTTTGTATGGGAGCAAGGCCTGAGGTCTCCAGACAGAGCCACTGACAGCCATGAGCTTATCTGCTTGGAGTGGAGTTGAACAAGAAAGTCATGGTAGCAGATGGAGGGACGTACAGAAGCCTCTGTGCTTTGGTCAGATGGCTCTGTGGGTCATCTGGACATACATACAGCTCATAATAATGGTGCAGGCTTTCCCCCAGCTCTGGGTCATAGCTCTGTGTGTGTGTGCGCATGTGTGTCCTGTCCTCGCACACTGGTTGTGTCTGTGTGCAAGACCTCCCCCCTACACTTGCTGTCTGTGTGTGTGCACGGCGTGTTCCACCACGCTCGCTCTGTGTGTGTGTGTGTGTGTGTGTGTGTGTGTGTGCGTGCGTGTGCGTGCACGGCCTCTTCCACCACACTCGTTGTATGTGTGTGTGTGCACGGCCTCTTCCACCACACACGCTCTGTGTGTGTGTGTGTGTGTGTGTGTGTGAGTGCGTGCAAATGACCTCTCCCTGCACCCTTGCTGTGTCTCCGTGTTCTGCCAGTGAGATTGCAAAGTGCTGTAATTCCTGCTCCATTCAGACCTGGCTGTTAAATCATGGGTTATGACCTGATAACTACTGTTCAAGTCAGGAGCTCCGTTCCTGCAGCAGTTCCCATCACTGACATATCCCCAGGGATTGTAACAAAAGGTGCTCTGTTAGCTTTTCTCCCTGAAGTTAACTAATCGCATCCAGGATCTAGCCACGTTGAATAATGTTTTGTTTAGAGTTTGTTAATTGAGCAGAAAATAAATTTCTTTCCATTTATTTAACATAACTTGCAGCAATAAAAGATTTTAGGTACTGTGTCTACCATGGTTCAGTGTTAGAGCACTGTCAGAGGGTCAGTGCTGAGGGAGCACTGCTCGGTCACAGCTGAGCTAAAGGATTGTCTCTGCAGCTCTCATCTCTGCTTGCAAAGCACTCCAGCATTCCTAAATCCATATTAAAGATGGGTCACACTTCTTTGCATCAGGATCGAAGAAGGTTTGTGATGCCAGGGCTGTCTGTGAGAGAGGGGTGGTGGTGAAGAGAATGCTTTCTCAGTCTCAACTTCATCACTTTCCCTATAACACTAATCCTAATCCACTGTCCCTTATTCCGCCCCCCTGTCCTCTTACTCGGCCCTAATGGAAAAGTTCAGCTTTGAAGTGTAAGTTGTTATAATAGAGCCTGCTGCATTGGTTCCATTGTCACTGGATTACTCAATGCCACAGAGAGTGAGCAACTGGCCACGTGGTCATTCAGAAGCTTGTATTGAGCACAACTTTTTCCACTAGTTAGTGTTCATTTTATCTCCAATGCTGCCCCCACTGTGACTGTCCTCAGGAGTGAGATAGAGAAGGATGGTGTAAAAAGGAGGGGGAACAATTGGTGTCACTGACTCCAGCTTCGGATTTCTCACTGCTGCTGTCTGTGCCCAGTCAGGAAGGTACAGACTTGGGCATTGAACTGATGGTTAGCTGTTTGAGGGGGTAGAAGAAGATGTGCAATTGACGCCTGGTTCATGTCACATTGTAAAACCTGTAGATCTACCCCCAGCATTGTAGTCACTTGGCATTATCTGACTTTTGCTTCCCAGAGGTGCCAGCTCTGCAGGCACTGGTGTACCTTCCAGAGAGAGATATCTGCAAGGATACACAAGTGGGTCAGCAAAGGAAGTAAGATACCATTAAACACAAGAGCTCAACACTGATATGGGAGCTCTCTCTTTATTATTGCTACCTTTGCATTTAGAAACCTTGAATGTTATTTTTGTGGTAGAGTTGAGGGTGGAATGGGAAAGAGATGATATTTAGTGAAACCAAGCTGGGGCACGGAGTTCTGGTGGCACTTGTACCCCAGTCGACTGCAGGTTGGAAGTCTCAGCCCAGCAAGTTCTGGGGCCAGGAGTAACCATTCAGGCCTGGGCCTTGGAACCCTGTTGCCTTGTTGATGAAAATTGTAAATTGATACTGTACAAAGTTAATAATTTTTAAAACCTCACATGAGCAGCCAGATCCTTCCAGAAGTTTTGATTTTCCCCCAAGCCCCCATGGAGATGACTGAGACTGCTGAGTGTTGTTTATCTCTGAGAGGTTTGAATGGTCCAGTGTGTAACACACATGACTTTCTGTAAATTTTGAATGCTGTATGTTAGTTAGAATGTACAGAACATAGGACATTTCTTTAATCACACTATTTTTGGAATAAACTGAAAAGTGAATAAAGCTGTGTTTTTGATTTTCAAGCAAGAAGTCGGGGTCTCGTAGAATTACCAGTGATTGGTGGGACAGAGCTTCTCCTCGGATCTCTAACACAGATGCTATTAGTTATCTAGTCCCATTCCCCTTTAATATTCTTAGATGTTTATTGATCTCCCTTTAAAATCTTCTACAGTCAAACCAAGCATCATAATGTCTTAACACACTGTCTCTCCCAACCCACAAGTGAGGTCCTGAGTCTCGACCAGCAGCAAGATCTCAGATTCCATCCCTTGCAGGGTTGAAGCTGGGAGGACCCAGGCCACGTCCAGGGAGGGAGAAGTGCATTGTCACTCCAGTCTCACTCCTCCATAGGTCCAAATGAAAAGATGCATCAAGCAGGTTTATTCAATGAACAGCAATTATTATGAAAACATAATACCATTTCATAATACCCTTCTATTTAAATGCCCTCTCATTCAAAAAGGCACACATGATTCAAGTAAAGGACGAGAAATTGACTTCTTTCTGTAGAGATTCATCTTTTACCACAAATATTCCAGCAATTGATTGTTAATCTTGATGGCAAATTAAAGGCATGATATAAAATATTCCGGTCTGTCGATCGGATGTTCTTGCATGTGTAGTTAAATCACGTGGTTGTATCTGTGATCTTGGCAGATGTAACTTGCTGAAGAAGTACAATATTAAGGAGATCTTTCAATCACTGTTCCAGAAGAACATACAGGTTTCACCCTGATATCTTGGCAAAGATGCAT